TGGGCGGAGCCTGGGTTTGCATTGTGCTGAAATATTTCAGTCTGGCATTGTCCCGGTCGGTAAAACTTGGGGGGAAGAAAAGTTACTTGATAATCCTCGTTTTATGTGATTTTCCTTCTCTGAAGGAAACTGGAGACGCGCGTCCCTCGCTTCTCCGCGGGTCCGTATTGTGCCTGGTAATGCCCTGCCAGCTCTGGCTGTGAATATCGGGGTGAGCTGCGGCAGTCCTGGGCAGCTGGTAGGTCCTGGGCTGCGTGTGTGTTAGTGCTGGGTGTTTAGCATCATCTTGTCTTACTGGAATAAGGATTGTTTGCTCATTTTCCTTCTTTGCTTTAGGGTTCTGGGTTTTTGTGATATTTTAGAAATGGCCTGTAAAGTGCGTGAAGTGGTAAGGGGTTCTAAAAGCACTGTAGCAGTAAGCCGAGCACTGGATGAGCAAGTGGTGAGCCCGCAGTGTTTCCTTTCATTGCAGTGCTGGAGGAGAGGGCCAGCCCAGCCTGCGCTCAGTACAGGGGCGGGAAAGACTTTCCAAATGGCACCTAAGCGCAGCACCTGTTGAGAGGTCTTGAGGGCATTCCAGACTTAAACAGGGTATCTTTGGATAGCAGCTTAAGTGAAGACGGTGTCGAAACACATGGGATTTCATAGAAGGAGAGAAAAAATGTGAAGAACAGTTATTGAGCTTTGGATGAGTAAGTTTGAATACAGGAAAAACCAATCTGGCCTTTTTTTTTTTTCTTTTTTTTTTTTAACAGGCTCTGACTTGTGGCTTAGGGACAGGACATGATTGAGGATTGCTGGGTTCTGTCAAACCTTGTTTCCTCACTGGGCATCTGGACTTGGGGATTGATTTCTGTCCGCCACCAAACACAAAAATGCAACAATTTTTTTCTCTGTGTCCCCCACATACTATGGGTCTGCTGTGGTTTATCTTCTGAGCTGTCCTCCCATATGCTTCAAAGGCATTGGATTAAGAAGTTCTGTCTCTACTCTGCTTCTGTGATTTTTACTTGTGTGCCCTTATGTAGAAAGCTTTGCTCCTTTGAGATGCTCTAAACAAAAGAGTGAAGACCTACCTGTCCATTTGGGCAGAAGGCACTGAAGCACCTTTTCACCTGTATAATCTTCCACAGGTAGAAAAGAACTGTCTGGACTGCATAGAAGAAGTAGGTGTAGCGGAAAGGTGATTAGTCTCTACTGTGCATAAGTAAGATTCAGTTGCTTCTGTAGAGCCTATTTAGACTGAGTGCTAAGCACTATTATGTTTTAGTTCATATTTACTTATAAGGGAGGCTTTAGAGTTTTTCTATGCTAAGTGTGAAACGCAGCTTGGTAGCAAGATATGACTGGGAGTGGATGGATTTTCCACAGTTTCTGCTTAGTTGTCAGGCTTGTAGCAGAGGAACATGTCCCTGTTGCGGCCAGAGAAGAATGAGCACTCAGACTGCAGATCAAGGAACATGTGTGAACCTTTGTGCTCTCTCCACTGGGAGTTGTAATAAGTTACTGCAGGGATTCTTCCCACCTACAAACACTGTAGAGAAGCAAAGATGTCAGTGTGGAAGGTGTTTGAAAGAAGTAGAAGAACTTAGGGACCTCTTGAGGTAATCTAGCGCAGTTTTCTGCTCAGAGCAAGCCTAACTTCAGATTTAGCCTGGGTTGTTCACAGCTTGTGCCCAGTCTAGTCTTTGTAGTAGTCTTGTGTTTGGCAAAGGAAGGAAGTTTCAAATTTATTTAAAGGGAAACTTTTCTTCTACAGAGAATTCAGGGCTTCCAAACAACTGTCAGATGAAATTTTATTACAAAGATTGTTTTACAGAAGATTCAAGTGTTACTAGTGTTTGCTTTCTATTTTCAGGCAGAGAAACTGTTGGTTCCAGCAATATGGAGTGTGATTTCAGCTTGAAGTTCCATCAGCAGCTTCTGCTTATTGATGAAGATCTGGTGTCTGAAGATGTAGCAGCACTAAAATTTCTCTGTGCTGACTTGCTCCCTTTCAAAAAGCTAGAACATGTGAAGTCAGCTGTGGACATCTTTCAGCTTCTCATGGCTGAAGAATATCTGAATGAAGAAGATACTTTCCTACTAGCTGAACTCTTATACAGAATTAAATGTCACTCCTTGCTCAGGAAACTTGGTTATACCAAGGAGAAGGTGCAAGAATGTCTGCATGAGAGAGGAAGAGTGTCTCTGTACAGGTAAGCTTGTCATGGGATTCATTTCTCTCCATTACTGCTATCTGTGCTATACTGTTTCCCTTTCCATTTTTAAATTCTGAGATTGCTTTTAGTTTTTTCAGTGTCTTCTGTTCTGCTTTTGTCTCACTGGATCTTTGTTACAGGCAGATGCTGTATGAATTGTCAGAGAACATTACCAATGAGATGTTGACGGAAATCATATTCCTCCTGCAAAACTATCTTCCAAAGCGATGGGTAACTCTTGTATGTGAGGAGACAGCCAAATGTGTATCTGGTGGGAAGGGAAGGAGGAGAAATAGGAGGAAATGCATGAAAAGTATTTGGCTGAGTAGGGCAGAATCTGCAGCTAGGCTAGTCAGTATTTATAGGCTTAGCAAGGAAGAAGCAGTTGACAGGTAAGCTTGGAATTTGGTGCTTTGTGCCGAGGTCCACAGGCGTGACAGTCCACAGTCTTGGATTAGATCATAAAAGGGTGACAAATCAAATATTTGCCCTGCTTGAACCATGCACAAAGGAGATTCCTGTCCATATGCTGTTAGCACCATTTCACGGCAACAAAGCCTTCTCGAAGCCAAGGGTCATTGATATGTTTTGGGTGAATCTATTTAAACAAGACCAAACCAAATAATATTGCTACCAGTAGTTTTTCATGAAGGAACATTTCCACCTCCCACAGTGACATAAAATTGACTGGACCTTGTTGGCAGGATGTGAGTGACTGAGGCAGACAGGGCTGAGGCAGTTGCTGAGTTCTAAGGAACAGTAACTATATTTTGTTCTGTCATTTTGGCCATCAGTCCACTCTGGAATTGCTGATTGTATTGGAAAAGCAGGGCCTTTTAGCTGAAGACAATGTACAGGTGCTGGAGGAAATCTGTATGAAGGTTTCACCTGATCTCCTGGAAACAGTAAATCACTACAAAAGGACAAAAGGTGAGAAGACCAGAGTAAGGGTGTGGGTTCACTAAAATGCACGAAACGCTAGAAGGGTCTGGGTAACTCTGTCTCAAGGTCTTTTGTGTGCATTGCTGGAACAGGACCCAGGGTGAGATCTCTCATCTTCACACACAAATTTGGCGTAATAGTCCCCAGCTTGTGTTACTTCCGACCTGAACTCCATTAGGGACATGCTGTAATATCTGTGGCCACACAGAGCAGTCCAGCACATACAGAACAGACTGGGAAACCTAAACTCTGTTTGTAGTTATGTTACTCTTCTCCATGTCCCAATGAATAGTACTGACATTATGATGCCTGTCCTGTAAAAGATGCTTCATGATTTATAAATGTGCACTACAACACAACAATTGCCTGCTAATAAGCTGGCGAGGCAAACTGCATGCACGTACATCTAACACATGGTAGGCTTTGTTGTTAAATGTGTGATTCGCGTTATCAGAGGTTTTACTGCAGTTTGTAATTTTCCTTCATTCATCATCCTGTGCATACTGGGAAAGAAGTCCTATTTCAATTTATTTAAGCACTGGGAAACAAATTCTGGGAAATACAAAGCCATCTCCCTGGTAGGTGTGAGGGCACCCAGTGTGTCAAGGGTTCCATTTCCCCATGCTTTCTGAGTATGTTTCAAAGTTGCTTTCAGTAAAGCATAAGATCTGTATTGGCCTAGTGTGCAGATTCAGACTGGTTTAACTAAAATGCACTTAGCTTTTCTCATTTAATCTCTTTCTGCTCTTAGTGTCTCTGCCTCAGCAGGAGAACACTCTGCCAGTCAAGGAATCTTCACTGTCTCACATTGGAGACATTGCTTCCCCACAGGTACACTGATGGCTTGGGTTTTAGTGTTGGGAGGGGTTGATTTTTTTCCTTGCCTTTATTTTGAAACCGTATAGGCCGTGAAAAATTTTGTTTTTTCTTATTTGGTTTAGGAAGGGAACAAGCATATTTTTTCAGTATGTAACAAATACAGCTACATATAGTATCAAACAGTAGAAGTCAAAAATACTGCGATTGGTCATGTGCAGTTGGGAAAAATAATCTTAGAAAGAGAGACGAGTGAGAGAAGAGGCTAGAAAGGTGCTTTCTAGAGAACAGGTCAGTCAGCTGGTGCTGATTTTTAAAGTTTTGACTGATCACTAAATTCTCTCTAAAGTTTAACACAGTACTTGGATGATGAGTCCAAACTGTTGCTGCTAAAGGAAGTGGTCCCATTTTCTCAACGCACTAGTTCTTGATCAGTTAAACGCCTCCTGCAGCTGCGTGGTGACCTCGATTGGGAAACTTACCAGGACTGTAACTGATATCTTTTTTGGGAAAGAGGACAGGAAGAGAGGAAGTTTTAACCCAGTTCTGAGTTAAGTAAAACAACGATCTTTCTAAGGATACTTCCTACAAGTGAAGTTCTGGTAGACAAGAGCTAAGGAACGTGAGCTGGTTACCATCAGAAGGGTTTGATTTACTGGACTTTGAGCTATATTTGCTCTACATGTGCAGCGGGTTTGGAGAAGCCTTTGTGAATGGCACTTGGCACAATAAGAAAATCAATGCTATTTTATTAAGAAACCATAGACGTAGAAGAATTTTAAAAGAAGACTAAGAGACTGTATTCATGATGATGATGAAATGATGAGAGCTTGTGTGCTTTTTCCATGCTGCATAATAATTCATTGATAATTACTGCTAGAAGATGTCTCTTAGGCAGGACTAGAATCACTAGTTATAATGATTTACACTCAGATAATTGACTATCCAGGAGAATGGATATGGGACTATGTAAGGACCTTTGCTTTGTTTGTAGTGACTGCCTGTCCCTATGGTGAGAGGATCATCTGGAAGTGAAAGAAAATTCTTTGCTGTTTCCCTTTATCTTTAAGAGAAAATATAGTTGTTTCCAGCTCTGTGAGATTTTCTGTAAGTGGGGAAGTCTGTCGTAATTTCAGGATTAAATGCTTTGCCGCTCTCAGGAATTCAGTATCTTTTGTACTTACTACTTTTAAAAGCTTTGTATTAAGCCTATTTTGCTAAAATCACAATTAAAACTTACCATATATAATAATGATTGTGGTATTTCCCCCACTCAAAAAATAGGAGACCTCAATCAAATCTGTCAGTTCTCCTAACTATGGTAAGAATTTCTGAAAATGTTTGGTTTCTTTTCCGTGTATGTTTAATGTTGCATTCCATTACTTTCTCTGGGAAGTTTCTAGTGTGTGGTTTAGTGCAACACACACACCTTGCTGTCTTCTTGGAAGGATCTTTGGCTTTTTTCACAGATAGATCTGAAGGATTTCTGTTCTTATGTATAAGACGCAAGAGAAAATTGGCAAATTCTGTGTACTTTGTCAGTCACTTACTAGAAGCTAACTAATGTGCTTTCTGGGAAGTGAAATAGCAGCTGGTCAGATTAGAAGCAAAAAGGTGATTTCTTTCCTGAAAAAACAAAAAGCAGGTTTTCTGTTTAAATATCCCTGAGAGGACAAGATTATGCGACACCATGACTGTTTCTAAAACTGATACGTTAATTTTTTGGGTGCAGGATTTTACCTCTGACTTCTTTTCCTGTGTAGATTGCTATGTTGAAGAGCTTAGGAGTGTTGCATGGCAGAGATGGATGTTTTGAATGCAATAAATAGTGTATGACTTTTAAAAAAGGAAACAAGCATTTTAGGGCAGAAGTAGTAAATAAAGCAGCAACAAAGTTACATTTTGGATGAGATCTCTGAAAAGATTCTGTACAAATAATGATGGGTACCTTGCATACATCTTTGTGACTCCACATCAAATTGACCAGCTGCAAAATATACCGGTACAACATCTGCCAGCATTTTTCCACTTTCAAGCTCTGTCAGTGGTGTCTTGCTCTGGTAGTTGGTTACTATCAGTGATTAGGGAACAAAAAAATAGATCTGTAATGGGAACTTCGCTAGTAATGTCACAGGTCCTTCTTACAATACAATTTATTTCTAAGCTGATTTCGGAATGAAAAATTGATTTGAATATCTTGGGTAGAATCTATCCTTGTACTGTGAATATCTCTGTTCCACAATACAAATACAAATAGAAACCTTGCCTTTGTCACAAATATCTGTATAACAAAAGTAAGTGGAGACATATCCAGAAAAAAATCCTTCAAATGTGAAGGTGCTGTCTCATGGAGAAATTGTTCCTTTCAATGAAACAGTATTTCAAATACAAAGAAATACAAATTTCTTTGTAAATTTGAAATACAAAGTATTTCAAAGTATTTCAAAGTATTTATTTCAAAGTATTTCAAAGTATTTTGTAAATTTGAAATACAAAGTATTTCAAATGTTATATTTCAGCTAAACTACTTTTTGCTATGTCCACCCACACTGGATTTCCTTTCATGAATATCTTTGTCGGTTTTTTTCCCTAGATAATAGAGCAGCTAATCTTACACAAGGCTTCTCTGAAATTAACCTGAAGCTGCCTGGACAATTCAGCAATATAGAAAATGAGACCAAGGTTTGAGACAATTTCTTAAATCTTTCTTTTTTAATACCTTGGTGTGTGAGGTCTTCATCCCTGTAGTGACGTTTATCATGCAAGGACATATGAGATGTCTTGTATCCTGTGAAGTTTTTCGAGTTGCCTGATCAACTGGAACAGTTCAGAGAATATTTTAACCTTGGAGCCTGGAAACTTCCCAATATTGAAAGGTGTGCTGGAGGCAGAACAGGCATATAGTACCTTTGATGTTATCCACACATCAATGCATCTGCTTATATTCCTGATACAGGCAAAACATTTGGCATTTTCCTAAGTTTCGTGCTTTGGAGATGGCAGCAGAATCACAGAATTGCAGAATGGTAGGGGTTGGAAGGGACCTCAGAATGTGCAAGACATAGAGACAGACATGGTTTCACAGTTCTCTCTTTCTGCATCTGGCTTAGAAAAAGCTTAAGGCATCTTGAAATTAAAAGTGGGAAGGGATAGCCTGCAAAGACCTTGTGAGAAGGATAAAAGAAGGCAAGAGTTTCTAGTAAGCTGTTGCAGGCATGCAGCAATCTTTCTCAGTAAACCAGTGCTCTTGGTACAGGAGAAAAGATCCCTTTTGTGAGATTCCCTTAGAAGCCTTATGTGCACTTTTTAACCTTGTGCAGCAGTGTAGCTGCAGAATTCTCCCTCTGTCTCCTTCTGTCGGATGAACATGGATATTGAGGGAGCAAGGTGCCACATTTGTTCAGAGCTATTTGATATCTTGAAGGTCTGTGCTATAACATCTTCCATCATCTGATACTCAGACTGCTGTAGGAAAAGTACTTTTTGATGCTGTTGGAGGAGCTTGGATTGCTGCCTTCATTTTGTTCTACTAAAATGCACAGAAGCGGGTGTTGCTCTCTCTCGTGAGCAGAAAGGAACTGGTCGGGTGGGAGTTCTTGATTTCTGCCCAAGGTTGGCCTTGAAGAAATGGTACTTGAGGTTTTTGTGACAATCTTAAGAAGACTTAAGACTTAAGAGTGGGAGGTAACTTCTAAGTCTTAGCGAAACTGGTAGTGTGGCAGGTTGATACACTTGAGATCTCTGTTTTGCTTCCTCCCCTTTCCAGTAGATCAGTATGAACTACTTGCTCCAGGTATTCATCACTACTCTCAGAAAAAAAAAAAACAATTCAAAAACCAACTCAGATGTCTAACATCCTGCAGTTTGACTGTGAACTCTCTGCCATCTGAAGTTAAAATATTGTTGTGACGTTGGAAACAGTTGGAGACTTCTATCCTCGTCACCAATTCAGATTGCAGAGTTGATCTAGTGAATCCTCCCTTTGCATACCTCCCTTTAGCAACCCAGCTGCTAAACCTTTCCTCTGCAGTTTGATAGTGTGATGACAGAGTGTGTTTGAGGCTTCACCCCGTCTTTTCACATAAGGAGGCACCACTGAGTTCCAGCTTTTCAGAAGTAATCCACAGTCTTAGGTCCCTCTAATTTTTGGATGCCAGTTTTGAGACATGTTAAGGAAAGATGAATGAGTTCAATAAATGCATTGAGGCTGGAAGGTTTTTCCCTCTCCTTTCTACAGAAGATGACAAGCTACAAAATGGATGGACCACACAGAGGATTTTGTCTCATTTTTAATAATGTTCACTTTGGTGGATCTCTTCTGGAGAGGAAGGGTTCTTGCAAAGATGCTGGTAAGTTACTGAAGTGAGATTTTTGAGATTTACTCTCTCTATTTTCCCATGAATGGATTGTCTAGTATTCCTCTGTATTTTATTGTCTCTATTTTAGTTAGTTGATAAAAGAGTAAAATGTTTGATATGTGTTAAATTATGTCATTTGTGTATCCATGGGGAGAAAGGGTTAAAGGATGAATAACCACTGAGTTTCTGATGCAGTTGGATCATTCTTGAATCATTTTAAGAATCTCATTTTACTTAGCCTTTATCTGTATCTGTAATAAGGAACTAAAATTAACCAAACCATCATTCTATGTAATATAATGCAAAATTCCATAATGAAGCAACTCTATGCATACTTCTTATTTTATTCTGTTCATTCTGTTTGTCTCTTGTGTATGAAGCTCTACTAGTCAAAACTGCAGCTGGAAAATAATGATATAAGGAAGGTTTTGAAATACCTACTCTGAAACTCAGGGCTGAATTCCTGGTATTTTCAAGTGTCATTTGAGACCTCAGTTAGTGTGTCATCATACATTATAAATTACCGTTGTATTTTCTGAAAACTTCTAGTAAACCCAGGAACTCTGTGTTTCACCTGATGCCATCTTTCTTTATTCCCATTAACTTTTAGTTAATACTAGTGTGAGGATGAATCTGCAGAAGTGGCAGGTCTTTCCTGGTCCAGATTAGCTTGCATAGTGGCTTCATCAAATGGTTTTCTACTGCCTCATTTTTTCCTTTTCTTTCTTCTGATTACAGAGGAACTGGAGCGAGTATTCACATGGCTTGGTCTGGACGTGACGACGTACACAGATCGGACATCTCAGGAGATTGAAGAGCTCATGCGAGCTTGGCAGAATTTGCAAGCTCACAAAGACAGGGACTGTTTCATATGTTGTATCCTATCTCATGGAGAGTCAGGAGCAATCTATGGGAAAGATGAGAAACTTTTATCAATCCGTAGAATCATGTCCCACTTCACTGCCAAGAAATGCCCACAGCTGGCTGAAAAACCCAAACTCTTCTTTATCCAAGCATGCCAGGGTAAAGAGATACAGCGTCCTGTCTATGTTGAAGCTGACGCACAAAACCCTGGCTTGCCTTCCACGCAACACAGTGTTTCTCCTTCTGAAAGTATTCCCGAAGAGGCTGATTTCCTCCTAGGCATGGCCACAATTGATGGATATGTCTCCTTCCGACACATTGAACAGGGTGCTTGGTATATTCAGGCCCTGTGCAGCAAGCTACAGTTGTTGGTACCAAGGTAAATACTTTGCTAAGCTCTTCCATGAAAAAATAGGAGGAATTCCCTTTTTTCTTTTCTCCAAAGGCAAATTCACATAGGAACACTAACCCATGTCCTGAGATGGACAAAATCAGTTAAACTGATGATTTGTTTGCTTGACACACTGCTAATACCATAGAGAGAATCTGGAGAATATGAAGTTTATTATAAAAAACCTCAAAACCTCTCATCTGTATTCTTTAACGCAGAGCCATCTGTTTCTTGAGTGGATTTAGGTAAAAATATCTGGGAGGTGTTAAAAGGAGTGCCATCTGCTCATTAATAAGTCCTTTTTTTTCTTCTTTTTTGTTTTTTCTCTTCTGGCTGTAGGGGTGAGGATATTTTGTCAATCCTTACGGAAGTTAATGAAGATGTAGGCAGACGTGTTGACCGCTTGGGAACCAAGAAGCAGATGCCCCAACCAGCCTATACCTTGAGAAGAAAATTGATATTCCCAATACCTAGAGACCCTCCTCCTTCACAGCAACATCGAGGCTTTTAAAGTACATCCTTTCATCAGCACATTTGATTTAAGTGCGATTGACCACACTACCTGTTTTAAGGCAGTTACCCAGAACCTTGAGGAACTGTTAGCTTCAAGGCACGGCCTTATCAATTTTGTGCCAAAGAAACTGTGCAAATGGAGAAGACACAATTAAAACCATCCATTTGCATCAGCTGTATATTCAGAGTTATCAGGGTTGGGAGAAGCATGCTTCTATTATGTTAAATGTTTTTGTACCTACACAGACTGCAGATATAAAAAGTGTTTTTCTGACAGCATAAGGGTTGCGTGTAGTCTTCCATGTCTAAACCATGATTGTTAATGGTCTGGTCAATGTGTTATTTTCGTAGGCTAACAATTTTAAATCCTGTTTGTAAATTCATTGGCTATGTTCATAGAGAAAGACAAAAGTGGGAATGAAGAGGAGAAAAAGTAGTAAGTGGAAAAGGATTTCTTCTATATCTAATTTAAATTTAACTTGATGGAGAACAAGTTAGCTATGGAAGTTAGTGATTTGTTCCACAATACGCAATGATACTGTCTAATGGCTAACATAAACCTTGTGTACAATGAGATCTTTCCGAAACTGAGTAAAGCCAAAATGCTGTGTAGTATTCCTTCTGTGAAACTTTGTGAACTGTCATTTCCCAGTCACTTCTGGGAAGAAAACATAGAAGATTTGCACGCTGTAAAATACAGCATATGGCAGGGTATCTGTATAAGTTTATCAGATTGATTAATTTTGTTAGGCATTAAATTTTCTAATTATCATTTCTCATTTTAAGATCTGAAATGCAGTCATATGAGAAATGAGGGTGCTTGTTACTTAAGCTGCTCACAGAGCATTTTGTGAGTTGAGATACGTGATATTTTGTTTGAGCCCTTGCTATGTTTGTGTGTATCCTTCTTGTTTGTTACTATATTAAATTCATTCTTCTTTTTAAGAGCTTGGTGAGATAAAAATTACGTACTGGGGTAAGGCTTATCTTTGTTTCTGACTGGCCTCTGCACTTTGTTGGGCTATATGATTCAGTAGGGTTTTAACTGCATGGATGTTTAAGCTGAAGTGAAACCTAGTGTATTTCAGCAAAACACTGGGTTTTAATTATGATTACTAGCTCTAAATTAGGGTGAGGATTTTTGAAGAGTGCTGTCTAGTGCTGTTGATCACGATTTTCAGCTTACATTATCCAGGATTTTTAGGAGAGGCATTTTGCATCCTACACAGCATTCAAATGCAGCCAGTTTGCCAAAACATAATGATCACTTTTTATCACAAGAAACTGGTACTTATGTTGACCCATCGCATTTTGAGTCTTCCAAGTTAGTATGGTTGCCACATGTGAAGTCACTTTTGTGCCACCCATAGAAAATGTTCTGTCTGTTGGCAGAATATATAACATACTGTGACAGAATCATGAAGTTTCTGGCTGGCAATTGCTGTTCATACTTGGTGCACTCCTACATGTTTAGGTAACAATTGGATTCTCATATGGAGTAAACACTGATAACAGTGACCATGTTTTGGGAGGTCTTGTTTTCTTTTTTAGGTTTGATAGGCAGAGAACATGATCACACTGTGTTGCTTTCTCTGTAGACTCTTCTGCGTAGGTAATCTCCAGTTAAATCGTAGGTAGGTAAAGGCAGTCAGAAGAAACTAAGTTGGTGGCTGCTTTGATTCCCTGATGAGAGGGATCCATGCTTGTGGAGTATAAAAGACTGATGAAGTCTCCCTTGCTCATAATAAGGTTTGTTCAAATATAGTTTACACTACTGTGGTTGATTCCATTCAATGTGAGCATTTTGCTGGTGTCTGTTGAGGCTGTCACGCTTGGGGCTGTGCCGCGGCACTGCCAGCCTGAGCCCCAGGGCAGGGCAAGGGTTAGCCCTGGAGCTGCAGCTACCAGCAGCGAGGCTGTTGGACGTTTGTGTGTCATCTCCTGTGGTGTGTTGCAAAATGTCCTTGGGAAAGTGTGGGTGGGTTTTTTACAACCAAGGTATTCATCGCTCCTTGCTCTCCTCACCGTACACCTTCAGTGTAACTAGTGATATAGAGCTGTGCCAGGAAGAAATTGGCTTAAACCAAACAAAGGTGTGGTTGGTTTCTGTTGAGGCTTACTGATAGCGGGCAGAAGCACACACACCTAGGCATATGCTCTCCACCTACAGAAATAAAGAAGGGTTTGTTTAACCCTTGTTTAGACAGATTTAAGTGGAAGCAGTGTAAAAAGACTTTTTCTTGGGGAAGTTGCTATCTCGGGAAGATCATGATCTTACAGTGGGATTTGTAACACCCCCCAGGTCTCTGGTATCCTGTCCTTCCTGACAGTTTTTGTGCAGGCGCTGTGTGTCCTGCCTTGTGACAGTAGAGGCCACAGCCACCACAATTGCTGAGCAGGTGTAGCCCCAGCCTTTCTGGGAGACAAGAAATCTGGGCAGGCTGCTCTACAAGGAGTAGACGGGGTCACTGAGACAGTTCTAGAGGAAACCAGCTGGACAAAACCAGGGTGCGGGGGAGCTGAGGGGAAATGGAGGGACTGTAAGTTAACAAAAGGATGGGAACATTTTGGTGAGGGTGGGAGAGGAAGAAGTAAGAAGTGAAAACAGTAAAGATAGAGGAAGAACAGTGCCAAGGAGGGCTGTGCTTGAAACTGGTGCACAACAGGAGAAGTATCTGTCTGGAAAGAGCCAGCCTGGGCTTGGTCTTGTCTGCAAATAGCTGATCACAGCGTGCTTCCTCTTTCAAACTGCAGCTGTGTTGCCTTAAGGAGTCTTGATTCAGTTGAAACACAGGAACTGATGCAGGAAGAGAGGCGCTGCGGCGTGGGATGACTCGGAGGCACAACCATCTCGGACCTGAAGATCAGATTGTGCTGGTGGTGTCCCTCAGTGCTGCTCCCAGCCTTTGGATGAACTCGTGCCGGTGAAGTCAGTCAGTTGTCTTTCCAAACTGTTCCTACCATATGCCTTTTGGGAGAAATCTGTATACCTCGTTCTGTCTATCAAATGATATGCTGAAATTTTGACTTTATAAAGGTAGGTAGGTTGAAATCAGTGAATGATTGTTTTCATTGCAAAATTTTAACAAACTTCAGCTCCCCTAACTGCCTTTCTTCATACAGCTGACTTCACAAGCTTCAGAGAGTCTGGTAGCTGTACTGATTGCTGATCATATATTTCCTGCTGCAAGGAAAATACTGATGACCAGCAGATCATGCTGGGAGCCTTACCGTTGAAAGCAGAATTCCATTCTTCAAAGAGGATGAAAATGCCAGGAGTTAATTATTGCTTAAATTCTCTTGTAAATGCGGAAGTATTTTACATACATTGTTGAAAACTAATGTTTAGCCTTTCAGTTCCTGGTATTCACTCTGTATTGCTACTGAATTTGGTGCTGATAGCTGACTTTTTTAATTTAGGAAATAATCTTCCATTAAAGTGCATGTTAAAAACAAGCTAGCGTGAATTGGAGAGGGAATTAGGAGAAGGGAGTAAGTCATGAAAATCTGATGACACAGCAGGACAGTGGGGCTGAGATGTTTCAAAATGGGATGGTATATTTCGTTCACTCTTCTGTCACTCTCTTTCAGTTAGGATTTATGTATGGGAGCAAATGCACTGAGCTGTGCTGTGTGCTAGAAAGTCCTAGTGGTGCTGCATTGTGTGTCGCCTTGAAACAAAAGCAGAATCTGTTTGCTTTTGTGGCTCGTTTACCAACTTTCTTCCAAGCAGGCACTGTAATAATTGATTTCCTGAAACCAGTACCATGATAGGTGGAGTAGGGAACTGTTGCATTATAACCACAGCTTATTTATTTGTTACACTTTTTATAAATCATGTGACTATACAGGTCGTAGTACCAACGACAGTACTTTTCCTGGAAATTAGAGGCAATGGCTGTCTTGTTTTCTTTGTTCTAGCAGTCTTCCAGCCTGTCCTCCCATGTAAGTGGTGTAAAAGTTGTTTTTTTTTTTCTTACTTGCTGTATTACTTGTGTCTTTAATTTAGTAAAGTGGAAGAAAAAGGTAGAAGCAGTTAAACATTATTTTAGTGTGCTGCCTGTATTTACAGTGCGTAGGTGGCATATCTGTTCTAATCGCAGTAATTTTGTGGGTTTGAAACTTAAAGCTTTAAGATATTACAACGAAAATTCCCCTTTCCACAAGGATTTACTTTTCTAAGCACATGCCTTGTATCTTAAAAGACTTGATTGATGTAAGAAAGAAGATAACTTCGTAACTAGCTAGCAAGAAAGTATTCTTCTCTTTCCTATGTAGGTATAAAAATATAAAATGGATCTGAGATCACTGAATCGTGAGGTTAAGCACATATGATTCAATCACATATGATTTGTGGTGATATATGCTGAATGGTATGAATTCTATTCTGTTCAAAAGTTCAGTTCAAATTAATTTAAAGAAAACTGTATTTAGGAGCAGAGCATGAATTGTACGTGCTGCACCACAATGCGGGTTTTGCTGTTGTGTCAGGGGGTTTTGATAGGCAAAGGTTTAAGGTTCAATTGTATGTTCATTCTTGCTAACTAACAGAATGCCGACTGTGGGCAAGGGCATGCCACAAAAAGGTGCTTTGCTGTAGCATGGTCCTTCGAGGAGAGAGGAGTAGAATTGTCTGCTATTTTTATTTTTATTTTAAATATATTTCCAGTAGTACTGATTCAGTTAGTCAGCTGGACTACTCTGGAGTTACTAGCCCTGCGATTGAAACATTAACAGATTTACAGTAGCAATGTCCTGGATTGAGCAAAATAGAACTAGTTCTGTGTAGTGATGTTACTTCTCAGCTCAGTTTCCACTTGAAAGGCTGCACTTTCTGGAGTTAGCAGCGTGGCTTTGCAGACAGTGTCTGCTACTAGAAGTGATACCACCTGATTTGTAGTTACTGCCTTGGACTGAAATGCAGAAAGGCTTTTGCTTATACTTATTCCTATAATGGCCAAGGTCACTGCTGCATGTTGTGTGCTGTGCTGGGCATGCCGGGAAGAAGTAAAAGGGTCACAAGGAAGTAAAAAGGTGGTTCCTCCAGTGAGTAACAGACAGGACAGCTGGCCAACAAGAGCATTCCATTCCATATTACGCCATATTCTGATACGTCATATTCAGTATAAAACTGTGGAATCACGGACTTGAAGGTTCTTCTTCAATGGCCGGCATCTGAGGAGGGCTCTCTCCCACCATCTGCCTTTAATCTCGATCCTGAGTTCCTGAATCCGACCCCTGTGCCTGGTTCTGCTCTGCTGCTGAGCCTGGGGCTGCCCCGGTGCCATCTGCTCTCCAGTGTGAGTGGGTTGCTGTCGGGGAAGGAGTAAACTCTGATACTGGTTTTTATATATATATAAATGTGTGTATGTATATAGGGGTTTTTACCGTTTTTTTTTACTAAAGCTGTTTAGTTTTGTTTTCCAGTCCATAAGTTTCTCTGCCTCATTTTCTTTTCCTTCCTGCTTGAGGAGGGAGAGCGGTTAGAGAGCGTCTCTTAGCGTTCGGTGGCAGGCCCAGGCCGAACCCTCAAAAAGCAGTAACATTAAAATGGGTTTCCTAATATTCCAGTAGTGTGGGAGTAGGAAGTTTTGATTTGCTATTGTCCACTTTTCCTGTCTCCAGTGAGGTCGATAGGACAAGGGAGCTTGACTGACTGCATTTCTATAGACTTTCTCTTCAGAGATTTGTAAGGTAGATTTAAGGTAGACAGAATGAAGTGGCAAATGATTCTCTTACTGGAGAAACAGTGGAGGCAAGTCTTTTAAGTGTTAGGGAGAGACAGTTGGAAAGCTTGCACTGGGTATTTTCTTATTTTCTCTTGTGCTCAAAAGTTGGACCCATAAGCAAAGTTTAATATTTGTAAAGCTGATAGAGGAGGTGCTGGAGAAGGGAGGTAGTATTTGATGCTCAGTGAAACACAACTACTTTAACAAGAATTGTCCTGACCTTTTTAAAAGGGGTAGACATGATCTGTGTTTGGTTTGAGTATTATGAAATGATTGAGAGCTGGGAACCGAGCTTTAATTGATGCAGATAATCCAAAACAGGAAGAGGTGCGTTGGCTATGCTGACCAGGGTCAGAAGTAGTGTGTAAAGAAAGGAGAAGCCAGATAGTTTAGAAGATTTATACCCACGTGGACTCTTATCTTTGTCACGGTCTAAAACCTTTATCTTTGTTGTGGTGTAAAACCTGTCAGTCGCATTTACCGCATAGTCTGTATTTCAGAACTGCACATGGTTCTTGCTCCCAAATGGGATCAAACCCCCAAAAAACCCACAAACCCAAAACGAAACTGAAACAGCAGCAGCCTCCCAGGATTGTACATGCTGTATGTCCATACTTCTTGCTGTCTAGACACACCATAGGAAGCATGAATGATCTGTGACTTTCTCTGACAATTTCACTTAGTACAGAGTTTTTTATATTCCTTGTGATGTCTTGAGAACCAGGAGAGCTAAACATCAAGGTTGTGATTGCATTACAGCCTCTCTCTACTGAAGTACTTTGGATTGCATGGATTTATTTTGGGCTGCTCTACACGATGTGATACCTTTTCCATCGTGTTGTTGCACTACTGTCACTGACAAATTAAATCAACTTCTGTTTGTGTTTAGCTCCAAATCCTGATGTGAAATGAATATGGACTTCCAGAAACTCCTTTTTCACGTTTCTGAGGCTTTGATCACTGATAACCTGGCAGCTCTGAAGTTCCTGTGCCTGGACCACATCTCCATGAAGAGGCTTGAAGCCATCCATGAGCCCAAGGCCTTCTTCGAAGCGCTGCAGGAGAAGGACTTGATCAACGAGGGGAACCTGTCCTTCCTGAAGGAGCTGCTCTACCGGATCAATCGGAGGGACATCCTGGCTGCCCACCTGCGCTCCAGCGGAGAGGAGGTGGAGAGAGAGCTTCAGATCCCAGGCAGGACAAAGGTGTCAGCCTACAGGTGAGCACAGAAGTAGTAAACCTTTGCGTGCAAAAAGAACAGCAGTTCTGTTCTGTGCTCTCATGTTTTCTATCTGCACTATTGCCTTATGAATATCCCAGGACAATTGTACTTACTTCAGCATGAATACTTGCCACTGTGAGTTTTAAATTTTGCAGTTTAAATGTGTAATTGTGGTGTTTACCTCTCATGGACTTATTAGTTGGTCTTTTTCTGCTCTTTATTGCCAGACAACTGCTATATGAAATTGCAGAGGACTTGGCTTCAGGTGATGTGGAGACCGTGAAGTTACTGGTCCAGAAAAAAATACCAAAGAACAAGCTCCAGGATAATGCTGTACGCAAATTGATTTTGATAAGTTTCTTGCAAGTTCAGAGTCTACTAGTTCTTGTAAGAAGAGGGGAAAGAGAAAGCAATCTGCTCTTACTAAAGTCAGTTGTTGAAAGGATTGTGATGTTAGCTGATAGCTGCTCTGTGAAAGAATGGACCCTCTTTTTTCACATTTTATCTTTTCTCTGTGCTTTTTTGGTCTCCTGTTAGTATTTTCTCTCCACTACCTGTCTCCTAATCTTTTCTTGCAAAGTCCATCATGGTCTTCCTTTTGTCTTTGCTTGACTTTTGTAAGCGTTCTGTATCTTGGAAGAGTCATGTTTGCTGGAGGAAAAACAATAGTTTGGAGACAGAAAATGAAGTTCTAATGTGAGTTCAACCACCATTTTTTTGTGTGTCATTGGGTATATTTTCTTCTTTGTTGTAATTTGGGGTAACAGCATTTTCTTAACTCCTCCGTGAAAGCATTAAGAGGTTTCTTGAGCTAGTTTAATACTTATATTGTAAATAATGAACAGTGTTATAAAACTTCTTGGTATTATTAAGAAGCACTATTAAGAAGTACTATTTGTATTGTGGCACCTGTAGGAAAATTAGCAGCCTTACCTCCAACTTGGTGGACTATTGAGCTTTAAAAAACAAAATTAGCCCTGAACACCTTTTCTGTAGTAGAAAATGTAAAACGGCACAGAAAAGCTAGATGGCTTAAGAGCACTTCCTCTGAACACAGGGGCATACCAGGATGCCGTGTTGTTACCCACGTCAGTGCTTTGCACTGTCGGAACAAAATCTTAACCTCATTGTTGTGTTTCTTCAGTTTGATGGGTTTCAGTTGGGAGGAAAAAGAAATTGATTCGTAGCTGGCCAGTCTCTGGGAATAAGGATGATGTCTTCTGCTGTTTTCAGAAGTGTGTGATACTACAGTTATTGAAGGTCACTCTGAGTTTGGGTTATGTGTTTTTGTTTTACCAGTCAATGTTGCAGGTCTTCCTGGAAATGCAAAGACTTACGATAATTAAAGAAGATAACCTCTCAGTGCTGAAAGAGATATTTAAGGAATTTAGAGTTGACATAAAGAAAAAAATTGATGCCTATGAAGAAAAAAAAAAAGGTGAATTATTTAATATGCTGTTTAAGACAAAAGCTTAGAGCTTTTTGTGGTTTTTGTGGCAACTTAGGAGTCTGAAGATAAGAGAGAGATTTTGTGGTATCCTAGCATAGGCAGAGCAGCTTTTGGTACCTGTGGTTTCGGAAGTTTTCTACTACCTCATTATCCCATCAGACCTTTTTGTATCTCTCCTTGAAGCGTGTTCCTTGCCTTGTAAATGGTCTGCTTCTCCCTCCCCTTTGCCTTAAAGGCAATTTTTTATTTCAGGAACCAGTGCAGTGCTGGTTTTGGACCAGCAGAGCTTTTCAGCCACTGAAAGAGGCAGATTGCCAGAATTATTTTTGGTTAGCCAGGCTGTTTGCTCTTAAGTCAGAGGAGAATTCCCTGAAGACCAGGTACTTGGCTAAAGTGTAACTGTTAGCTTTCTGCACCTTCTGTACCAGATGTGCAATTTCAAGGACTTCTGTATATCTGGGCTGTTGTAGCTCCAGTAGTGGCTTCTGACATCACAGCTGGACCTTACTCTTTGGGAAACAGGATGTGTCAACCAACATCGACAGACGCCTTTTAAATTTTTTCCCCAGAACCTCCTTTTGGATGACTCAGGACATGTATTTCCTTAAACACGTCTACACAGCCCATGCAGTTTCCTGTGGAGATACCAACTATTTTTCCCAGCATGTCTTTGTGCTGCTGACCTGTGCTTGTGTCTCTAAAAGAGCAGAAGAAAATTGCCAAGGCTGGCTAGACAAAACAATGATGTTGTCTCTGCCTCATTCCTTGTGCTGTTTGGGTTTTTTTTTTTGGTGTTGAAATATGCACAGTGAATCATTTTAGTCTTAAGTGTTCTGTTTATCTTCTCCCTCTCAGAAAATGATTCTAAGAGCGAGTTCCGCTATCCAGTGTCTGGATCTGTGCATCTACCAAGACGAGGGGCCGAGGGGGAGACACCGCACCAGGTGAGAAATACCTCAAGATTACCTTCAGAGTATTTATAAATTCCTGGAAGGGATCATAAATTCTTAAGACTGAGCAGGCAGAAGAGCTGAAGGGGAAGGGTTCTGGTTTTTTACGTAGCCATGGAGCGATTCCTATTTTCAAAACCAGACAAAGCCTTGTTCTTACGTGAGGATGTGGCTCTCAGCAACCTTTTAAGCAAGAAATGAAGGCATACCTGTTGTGTGCGGAAAACCAATCTTAACAATAACGGAGACTGGGACATTAAAGTCCTTTCCAGGATACTCCTGGACAGATGGGAAGGGAACAGCAGTATCTGCTACCTCACTAGAAATGCACACTCTCAGAGGGAGTGGTAGGGTGCAAGAACTTTTCCTCTGCACACACAAATCTGTATTTTCCAGGGTACTCACTTTTTCCCATGCCAAAATCATATCCTAACCACAGAGAGGGAGGAGGAGGGATTCAGGGAGACAAAGCGGATTCCTCTCCCTTGTAGCTAGCTGGTATTCTTAGGCTTTTCCTTTCTTCTGTTTTGGCTCTCATTGTATTTTTTTGCACTTGACACTGCTTTCTTATCTGCTTTCTTTGTTTCTACAGCCTGAGAAATCATATGAGATGAAAAATAACCCCCATGGTTACTGTGTGATTCTTAACAACTATAGTTTTAAAAATCCGCATGAAGTCAGAGAAGGAACAGAGGAAGATGGAGGTAAGTACTTTTAAAATCAAATTACTCGTTTGTTTTTTAATCTGATTAATTCTCTGAAAGAATTACCTAGTCTTTCCTGTGAAGAAGAATCCTGTCCACTGAGATCCTTTGCCTCCAGAGTAACTGGAATGACAGTGTAGAAACTGGAAATATGCCACTTCGAGCTGTTGAGCTGATGGCTTAAGAAGGAACTGTTTTCTCTTCTAGGTAAAGAGCATCATCTTAATTGGTCGTATGTACCAAATAGTGAAAGAGGGATTACTATTCCACCTTTTCACTTTTTAATTGCTGATAATTCTTAGCTATCATGATGTAATATTTGTAAGTCCTTAAACTCTCAAATCAATGCTACTGCTTTATAATTTTCCTGAAAGCCTGTCTTCTTGCAAGAGTCACTTTTAAGATAAACTTAAAGTAAAATCTGTTCATGAAGGCACATGTCACTGATACTTTAACTGCATCCAGCCTGCCTACAGGCTGCTTGCTTCCCAGCACACTGCCCACACACCTAGATCAGCATTCGCTGAGAAGTCTGACTGGCATTTGTTATCGGGTCACCCTGCCTTCTTTCTTGCTGAATTGATCATTCTCACAGAATGAGGGACCTCCTTCATTGAAGTGTGGCAGAATATGTCATTCTGAATAAGTACGACTTGTTTAACTTGCTTATTGTTCTTAAGCCTCTGAGGTCACTTCACAGTGCACAGTTAAATCTTGCTTTAAGACAGTAAGCTTCGCCAGTTTGTACCAATTATTCCAATAATCTGAAACCTGCTTTTGTTTTAGATATGATGTTTAAACGAGCTGTGTTTAAAAAAAAAAAAAAAGAATTAGACATTTGTGTTTCTCTAACTAGATTTGGCAAGCTAAAGGTCAGTTAGGTGAGTTTATTGGTGGGATCTGAACACTTCTGATACTGATGTTTCAGCATCTTTCTTGTCACTGTTTGTGTTTAAAAAGTGCCTTCTGCCTTTTTTCCCCAGAGGCCGTGAAGAGGGTCTTTAAGTGGCTTCAGTTTGAGACAGAGGATCACATGGATCTAGAAGCAGAGCAAATGTATGAGATAGTTAAAGAATACAGCAAAAAAGATCATAGCAACATGGACTGTTTTGTTTGCTTCATTTTGTCACATGGTGAAAAAGATAAAATAACAGGAGTTGATCACAAGCTTGTAAATATTAAGGATTTAGTGTCCTGCTTCAGTGGATCCAATTGTCCTTCTCTTGCTGGCAAACCCAAGCTGTTTTTCATCCAGGCTTGCCAAGGCTCTGTAGGTCATCCACCTGTCACAGTAAAAGAAGACTTCTCTGGCCGTCTTGAGACAGATGCTACCCCTCTGACTTCTATTCCTGATCTGGCTGATATTCTGGTTGGCATGGCTACAGTGGAAGACTACGAGTGCTACCGCGACACAGAGACCGGCAGTATTTACATTCAATGCCTCTGTGACAAGTTGGAGTCTCTTTGCCCACTGTAAGTACTGCTTTTAATCCATGTGTATTTGGGGTATTGCAGACATACATGCTTACACATGGTATGCTGAAACATCAGTATTTTATAACATATAACCTTTTATGCTATATAACCTTTTACCTCCAAGACAAGTGCAGAAAAGTAATTATTCTGAAGCTGGGCATTGTTATTATTCAACAGATGAACCAAAGTACAAATGACTTCTCCTAGTTTGCCTGTTACGGAACCAGGGTTGTAATCCTGGAACATTGCATATCAGTGAGTGTGCATATGCGTGTGCATGTTTTTTAGCATGTTTCTACTTCCAGTGACACCTGATGAGAGGCGAATTTATTGAGTGATTACACAGAAAAAAAAAGAGTTTTATTTGGTCATCATTTTCATTCTTGCCTCCCTTCCACCCCCATCGTAAATTTGATTTAGAAAATAGAATTTCTTCTCTGACATCACTCACTTTCTCATGGTGTCCAGAAGAGGGCATGGAGAATGCATAGGTTTGGTTCTGTTAATGCACTCTTCTGGCAGTAACCAAAGCAGGGGGACGGCCTTTGCTGGTAAAGCGATGCTACACAGAGGTTGCTTTTATTCCCCCAAACACACAGAATTCTGGGGTTACACAATGGAGTGTGAAATTTCAGTGACAGGCAGGATGAGCGGAAGATACTACCCTTCCCTGAGATACCACTTTGTTGGAGCAAGCACAGATCAGCTTCTTGGCGTAAATGCAACTTCCAAAATATTTCAGTGTAACTTCTCCTCATTTTTATTCAAGCCGCAAGGATCTTGTAACCATCCTGACAGAAGTGAACAACGAAGTGGGAAGAAAAGTATTAAACGGATGTAAGCAGATGCCGAAGATAACGTCAACCCTGCGGAAACAATTGATCTTCCAAGTTCCACATTTCCACAGTTGATCTTCCAAGTTCTACAGTTGATCTTCCAAGTTCCACAGCATCAGTCGATTAAAAAGTAGAGAGATAAGAATACACTACAAGCCACATCTGGAATGGATTTCCACAGGGAAATTTGCAAGAGAAAGTATCTGGACCTGTGTAGTTAGCCCCAGTCCTTCAAGGAGCCACAGGACCTATTTTTTCCAATTCCTATGTTTTACCAGTCTCCTGGCACTGGGTCTTACCAGTAGTCTGATAAGGCTGTGGAGAAGTACGGATCTGGCTTTCTGTCCTGCAGAAGCAATGGATTCTGTTTAGTTTGGGTTTCAAGTGAAGAAGCACTTCCAAGTAGTATGATTTTTAAGAGTTGTTGGTGATGCCAGTGGAAGTCCCGTTTCTGTCCAAGCTGTTTTAAGTCCTTGAAAGCTGAAGAACAGATAGATTCAGATGCTAGATCCCTTCCCAGGGAGCATGTGTAAGATTGTAACTGATTTACCCAGAGGTGAATCCTTGTCTGTCTCTGGAAGCTATGTAATTTTTCAATCTCCCTGTCCATAAGGCCAAAAAAAAGATGACTGTGATTGATAATACAAGTTTGGATCTTTTCCTCCAAATATTTGTTTTCCTTTGTGTTATTAATTTACTTGGCTAAACAGCACTGCTGGTTAGGTTTTTTTAATAGCAAGGGTTCCAATTGCGGAGTTTTCTTCTCAGAGCTCTTAAGGGGCAGGCGTGCTGGAAGGAAGGTCCTGCTCTATTAGAGCCACTGCTCTGAGCTGCCTTCTCCTCCCAGCAACTGACTCCAGCTCTTGTTGACTTTTGCTTCTGTTATAATAAATACTCTTGGTTTTCACATCACCTTTGTGGTGTCTTTCTCTTTTGGATGAGCTGACTGAGGGAGAGTCACCTTGATGAACACTTGTACTTCAGCAGTAAATGTGAGATGGCCCAGGAGGGGAATGGCCCCACCCCTGGAGATCATAGAATCATAGAATGTTCGGGGTTGGAAGGGGCCTCCAGACATCATCTAGTCCAGCTCCCTGCCAGAGCAGAGTCACCTACAGTAGGTCACACAGGAACACGTCCAGATGGGTTTTGAAAGTCTCCAGAGAAGGAGACTCCACACCCTCTCTGGGCAGCCTGTGCCAGGGCTCTGTCACCCTCACAGTGAAGAAGTTTCTCCTCACGTTGAGGTGGAACTTCCTGTGTTCTAACTTAAACCCAGTATTTCTTGTTCTGTTGCTGGGCACCACTGAGAAGAGATCGTCTCCTTCCCCTTGACCCCCACCCCTCAGATATTTCTATACGTTAATAAGGTTCCCTCTCAGCCATCTCCTTTCAAGGCTGAACAGCCCCAGGTCTCTCAGTCTCTCTTCCCAGCTCTCTGCTGGGCTCTCTCCAGTAGGTCCCTGTCTCTCTCGAACTGGGGAGCCCAAAACTGGACACCGTGTTCCAGATGTGGTCTCACCAGGGCAGAGCAGAGGGAGAGGAGAACCTCCCTAGACCTCCTGGACACACTTCTCTTAATGCACCCCCAGGATCCCATTGGCCCTCTTGCCCACAAGGGCACAGTGGCCCAAGGACAACTCACTGTCCACTAGGACTCCAAGGGGCTGCTTTACAGCAGGATGATCCCTAATCTGTACTGGTGCCTGGTGTTATTCCTCCCTAGATGCCTTCCACCTATCCTGTTCCATGGGGATGGGACAGAGAATTGGTTAAAAAACCCAGTAAACCCCATGGGTTGGCATCAAGACAGTTGAACAAGACGGGAAATGAAGGGGTAAGAAAGTCGCAGATGGTACAGAGCAACTGGTACCTGAGAGAGGAGGCCCAGGGACAGGCAGTGGCAATGGGAGGGGGTGATGCTGTCCAGGCCTCAGGGCAGTGGAGTTTTTGGTGTGTTGGTCTGGTGGCCACAACCATGAACACAAGTCGGGCCAAGGAAAGAAGCCCTGAGGAAAGTGGCGCTGGGGCTGGGCCCTGTGGCTGCCGGTTGGCTGTGTGGGGCTGGCAAAGGGGAGAGAATGCGGCCCTTCGGGGCTCACAGGGTGCCTGGCCCAGACCCACAGCAAAAGCTGTTGTGTTCTCTTCTGTTTGTTCACACTAATTATAGGGGCAAGTTGGAAATAGCATTTTATATTTATGTGCATCACTTGATTATGCCTGCAGAAACGTCCTGCCTGAAGCATGAGTGAAACTGATGTTTAAGCTCGATTTTTGTCGGTCTTCACAACCCTTGTGGTCTCACAACCCTTCACAAAAACAAACAAACAAGAAAAAAAAAGAAGAAAAAAAGAAAGCTTTAGATTAGATTCCCACTTGGCTTTACACTAAATAATTTTTAATCTCACTCAGCAGATCATCACCTGCCACCACTTCACCGCGATTTCACATTCCTCTACTGTGAGAGCTCAAAAGATGCAAAGAATTTACCATGGTCTGTGAGTACAAGGTACGTCTGCATTTTTCTGAAGGTGCTTGTAGTATGACCTTTGAAAGTTAGCACAAGGAATGTGCCAACTCTCCTGTGCTTTTTCTGTGAGATGTTTTAGTATAAAAAGACTAAAAGACAGAGCCTGTTCCAGAGCCTGTTCCACCTAGGCAAAGCTTCACCCTCTCTGTATTCTCCTGAAAGTGCAATCTTCTGCTTCTGGTAAATGATAGAATTGCTTTTAAAGGATTCCGTGAAAGTCATTTTGTGCTAAAGAAGGAAAGAAACTGGTGGTAAGAGTTCAGGTGTTCATAAGCAACAACTGTGTTTTCATGATAAAAGCTTGATGCTATTTCAGTCACTAAGTTTTAAAAAAGTCTTATAGTTGTATTTCAAAAACCTTACTGAGACGCTAGCAAATCTGCCAATTGTTTTTTGTAGCCTTAAGCATCAGGACACTGGAGATTTGATTTGTGTTGTGCTTTGTTTTGTGGCTTGGTTGTTTTTCTTTTTCCTCCACAAGTTTTGTGGGTTTTTTGTGTGGTTTTTTCATTAGAGCATTGATGACTTGTTGTTGTCTTGTGGCTCAGTCCACGTTCTGTCCCTTGGAGACTTCAGTCTGGGATTTTTATATGAAAAAGCTTGTCCTTTCCAAAAGAGTTTTTCACAGGACTGAGGGATTTGACAGCACCCATCCCAGACACTGTGTTAGCAGAGAATGAAATATATCGGTAAGGTGAAGGAGAACACTTCCTATTTTGTCTACGCTGTCACCAACATCAAAATGTGTCTTGGACTGAAGAACGTGTTGTAGCATTTCATGGTTCCAAGTTACTCAGTAGGTGAAATGCAGAAGTCAGTCTTGTGTACGCAGAGATAAAAATAATATTAAATATGTCTCCTACGGATTTGCCCATGAGAGCTAATGCTGGGGTTGATGTTTTGGGTCCGGCTGAAGCCGATTAGGACTTTAGAGGGACACGGGATTCTCCCCACATCTGGTGTGAGCAGTGTAACATAAAAGGCAGATGGTTATAAAAATGTCACAAGTGACATGTGTGTTGTACGTAGAGATCTGTGGCATATTTTTTTTTCAGTTTGCCATGTATCCAAAACCCCTGGCACACGTTTGTATTTCATTTTGCAAATGGTAAGTTTTGCACATGATAATATGTTTTAATACTGAAGTATAATTTGGTATGTTGTATGCTGTGGTGGGGTTATTTTTGTGGTTTTGGTTGTTTTTTTCTTTTAAGAGATAGTTCACACTTGAATGTTTTGAGCATTGCTTTATTCCTAGCTGGCTTATTCATCTAGGCTAATTTATCATTATTTATCCCAGTTGTCTGGGAGGAATACAGAGAAATTGTCTGAGCAGTGAGGGACCAGGTTAGAGGAAAGCCAAAGCCCTGATAGAATTAAATCTGGACAGGGATGTCAAGGGCAACAAGCAAAACTTCTATAGGTATGTCAGTGATGCAAGGATAATATTGGTCCTCTCCGGAAGGACACAGGAGAGCTGGTTACTCGGGGCGTGGAGAAGGCTGAGGTACTGGGTACCTGGCTCCTGGCCAGGGTCAAACCACGACAGGTACTGAATGATTTTTTTGCCTCAGTGTCTGAGGGGAGGCCCATGGCATGTGACATTTCTCAGGGGTCAGTTTTGGGACTGGGGCTGTTTAACATTGCTGGTTCTCGAAAGCCTCACTGAGATACTAGCAGATCTGTTGGTCCCGCTCGGAAGCCTTAGGCATCGCAGCGCTGGGGATTTCGTTTGTGGTGGTCGGTTTTGTTTGTTTGCTTGTATTTTGTTTTGTTTCCTTTGAAAGTAACATCGTATGGGGGAACTCCTGTGTCATTGATTTTTCCATCCTGAGAGAAAGGTTAAAAAAGACCCCAGTCCCAGTTGTGTAAATTACAAATTGACTTGCCTTGTCAGAACCATAACTGCCACGTGGCTATAGCATGCAAGTGAGGAGCCTGACACACGGATTGCAGGACAGCTCGTCATGCCAGGCTTCCGAGCTTGCAATTCTCATCAGGGTCCAGTGCTGGCTGAGTGGATGGACTTCCAAGTTCTAGAAGTACACATTCATGAATCAAGTGCTCCTCAAGCACGCAGGTAAAACTTAGAGAAGCAAAACAACAATGAAGCTTTGTTTATTTGCGCACGTCCTGTCTGACAATGCCCTTGGCTACCTTCTCTTCCTGACGGGAACAGGAATAAGTTGCTGTCACATGTGGCTGCTGCTGACAGGGAAAGAAACTGACTTGGTTCTTGCCTGCTATTATGAGGTGTGGCAATAATGCAGTCTTCCAAGACTGGAAAGGAACGCCCTGGAGGCAGAAACACAGGGGTGTTCATTACACCTGAGCATTCAGAATCATAGGAGGTGATGCCAGAGAGCCTGATCTCATTCAACAGTTGACACACCTTAGGACTGAAAAGGCTTCTCGTCCAACAGAGTGTTCTCTTTAACAAGAGCTTAACTTCTTAACACTCTACAGTAGAGCAACTACTATACTGTACAGTAATTAATAGATACTGTAACATTAACTGTTACTGTTTCTTTAATTTCATTATTGC